ACTACTACTAACGAATCAGTGAATTCAATGTTCAATTCTTTCAAAATAGTTAGTTTTTGTTTTTTCTTTTCAAATTTTAGTTTGTATTTTGTTTGTGTATGTGAGAAAAATAAAACAACTTAGAAAAAAAAAACTAATCATTCATTTTCTTTTTCAACTTTATAATTTGAACGAATGCCAAAGAATGTGAGCAGTATTTCATCTCTCTCTCTCTCTCTACTCAAATAAAAATAATCATTTTATTGAATAAAATGCATTCATTCAAGCTTAAAAGCTGATGTATAAAATATATATATATACAGTGAATTTGTTTATTTGTAAATGAATGCTCACTACTACTACTACTACTACTACTACTACTACTACTACTACTACTACTACTGATTTGTGTAGGTGTAGAAGAATTCACTGAGTAATAATTGAGTGGGTGAATGTCATACATAGTTGTATTGCAATGATGACTTTTTTACTTTCTTGCTAAAAAACACATCATACACATGAAAGAAATGTTAAAAAATTATGCTGAATAAAGTTTTAACACGACAAGAAAATTCACAACAAACGCGCAAACACATGTGGAGGTGAATGCTGTCATGCTTTCGACTTGTATATGTAACGAAAATGTTTATTTCCGAATTGGCTAAATTGAACAGATAAATCGATTTGAAAAGTTCAGGCAATGGAATAGTTGAGAAGGAAATTGCGCCTTGCATATCGCGCTGTGTATATGAATCGTGATTCTACTACTCGTTTGACAGTAAGTGATGTGGGTTCGAATCCTAATTCATACATAGTATTTTAAAAATCTATGATTGGAGATAGTTGGTAAAAAATTCTAAAGCTTGACTTCGTGCAAGTTGTTATACATTGATAAGGTTGACACACAATATTATGAGCAGTCATGTTTCTTGTATCGATTGAATCTGTGCCGAGACGTTAACACGGAACTAATCAAGTCCCGGCTGACATCGTATGAGATTGAGATACTTTGATTAGGCAAATTCTTATAAGTACTGATTAGTTTGATTGGTCCAGTCTCTCTCACTATCATTATTTTATACTTTCAAATTCTTCTTAAATGAAGAAACTGTTAGGATATTGATCAAATATCCTCAAGAAATTGTTTTGTGAGACTAATCCTATTGGTCAATTCCTATTGGTTGATGTTTAAGGTCGTCCGAAACTATCAAGTTCACATACTTTTTAATGTTGTTTCCTATTGGTTAGTATTGTCTGTAAAGTCTTCTTCTTCTTCTTCTGTACAAAACCTCATATTACTTCGGTGCTTGTAGAATACATTCTCGACGCCAATTCAAGACTTTTTGATACCGTTAGTGGAGGGCTTGGGACGCTTGGATTAGAGTAGCTTATCGAGTCACTGGATCAATTGTCTTAGCTCTCATTTACCGACTAAGGTGAACTGGTAATAGTTTCAAGCATATCGATTTGACAAACATAATGTCTGATTGTGTGTGCTTACAAATTACTTTTATTTCGTGTCAGGCCCACTAGATAGAGCTTTTAAAAGTTATGAAGTCATTTGAGTTGTAGAGTAAGATTATTACAAATGAAACCGAGCAAATGAATTCTGATGATCAACCAAGTTAACAATCCAATTATTTGTTTTTTCACTTGAGTAAGTAGAGCTCAGGCATAATTCATAATTATAAATCATTTCTTGCACAAATTATGTGGTATGTTTCTTTTACAAAACTGCCGATATTTATCGGCTTGAAAACTTGAGGCTCTCATAGAACTACATTTTTGCCAACCAATTAGAGAAAGTCATGCTGAATAGATGAAAAACGATTTTTTTTAAAAAAAAGATAGTAGATGTATTTCAGTGAGATACAATTTAATATTTTTATGACTGCGAAATAAATCTACTGAAGTCAACAGCCAAATGAAGTAAACTCTAAACAGCAGAGTATAACAAAACAATCACTTATTTTATTCTATGTACTTAGCTCAGCTATTCGATCGATACATTTCTATCAGCCTTATTGCACTAACATATTGTAGTGAACGAGAGCACAGGTGGGGCAACCGAATTGTATTTAATGAAAATTACAGAGTTACTCAGTAAAATCGGAAAACTATATCGTATATTGTTAATTTGCAAAATATCAGTTCATCATCATCTCGAACTGGACTGTTCCTGTTGCAAAACATCAATCCATTGTCACTATTCATACGTTTCATACAAATTCGATTGTTTTCTAACTCTTCCTTTCTTGATGTTCCCCCATCTTCCGCTGCCAGACATTACGTTGACACTCATGTCATATACTACTTATAAGTAACTCACACCACACTCGTCCCCACTTTTATTAAGCTGTCGTCACTTTCAAAGGTGAAGACGCTGACAAAATGCAGAGTCTTCTGACTATCATAAGCAACAATGCGAGCATGTTCGGCATGCGGTCCTCACCATCGAAATGCAAAATGTTGCTTCAACACTGGGTTGCATCGGCACCTGAACTAGTGATAGGGAGTGAAGTGGTTGAACGTGTAGACCGCTTCACTTATCTTGGGAGTCTCATCAGTGCCGATGGCCTGGTGACTGACGAAATCTCAGCTCGGATACAGAAAGCTCGATTGGCTTTTGCCAACCTGCGTCACTTATGGCGTAGGCAAGATATCCGTTTGCTGACTAAAGGACGAGTGTACTGCGCAGTAGTTCGCTCCATCTTACTTTATGGCTGTGAAACATGACCAGTGAGAGTAGAAGATATTCGTAGGTTACTGGTTTTCGATCATAGGTGTCTTCGAAGCATTGCTCGTATATCGTGGGACACTCGAGTGAGCAACGCTGTTATCAGGAATCGGGTGCTAGGTAAGAATGGCAGATCAATCGATGAAATATTGAAACTTCACCAGTTGAGGTGGTTGGGACATGTGTTGCGTATGCCCAACCACCGACTGCCTCGACGAGCTTTGTTTTGTAGTGTAGGAGTAGTTTGGAAGAAAGTTAGGGACGGCCAAACCAAAACATGGCAGAAATCCATGAAGTCATTGACTAGTGGACTGAGCCATGTTGGTAGGTGTCGACTACCTGGTTGTGGTCCGCGAGATGATAATAATCGATGGTTAGAGACCTTGAATGACATGGCTCAAAATCGTTTGCAATGGCGCCAGTGCATTTATTCTCTGTGTTCTCTCAAATGCTAATCTTCTGGATTCTTCAACACCTCTAGTTTCGACTCTCTAAACTTTTCTCACTGAATCATACTTCTTGAGTATTATCTTCTAATCCTAACCTCTCCGATTATTTCTAATTCCCTTACTACCTCTTCTACTATTGGATTTGTTTCGACATTTGCGTCTCTGTGCTGATGTGGTATGGCAACATGAACTGATGTACTTATGTACAAAGTTCTACGTTGCATCTGACTGACTGACGTCACTTTCAAAACAGGGATCCTGGTCAGTTAATATCACCTTCCGTATTCCGTGACGCGCTACAATATGCCGGGTTACTACTTCGGTCATTGTTCTTGCCTGCTGGTATGGAATGGATACGGCATCTATCCAACGTGTAGCGTTTACTAGTTCCCGCTGCCGGGACACGGTGGCAGGCACACTCTCGGTAAATTGCGACGCCAACAACTTTGTCCCCGACTCCCCATCCATACTCGGCAGCGTACGGCGCAGCAACATCGTGAGCCCCACAGCCAGCACCAACGGGTCACCATCAGCCGACAGCCTCGCCAACCGTGACCACTGCGGCGCCTCCTCCTTGTCCACCGGGCTGTCGAACTCCGTCATCAGCCGCGCGGTGACCATCTCCCACGCCGTCTTCCCGGCGCCAGCGTCCAGGCTGTTGTATGCTGCCTTCGCCTACTCCCCGCAGCGTCCCCGGCACCGCCAACTCCGCCCCGGGCCCCTTCACACCCACCAGCTCCACCGCCTTAAACTCCTACAGGAAGCTCCGCAAATCTCCATCCTCCAACTCCTTCGGCCACGGGAGCTCCTTCCTTCGAGCAGGCAGCGACACCAAATGTGGTGAACGAGAACACAGGTGGGGCAACGAGATTGTACTTAACGAAAATTACAGAGTTACTCAGTAAAATAGGAAAACCATATCGTAAATCGTTCATTTGCAAAATATCAGTCTATCCTATCGAACTGCACTGTTCCTGTTGCAAAACATCAATCCATTGTCACTATTCATGGATTTCATACAAATTCCATTGTGTTCTTCTAACTCTTCCTTTCTCTTGATCTTCCTCCATCTTCTGCTGCCAGACATTACGTTTACACTCACGTCATATACTACTTATAATTAGCTCACAACACAAAGGGATTCTCGTTAGTAGGAGTCTCGAATGCTCATTCCTGATCAGTCCCGTATCAAGACGAAAAGGCTGTTCAGTGCTTCCAGGTTTCTAATAGTAGTCTAACACTGATCAATTCATGGTTTCAGAGGAACTCAACAATCTCCACAACCCTATATAATGGAAATTATTACATGTCTTAACAATCTAGTTTCATGAAACCTTTTCTTTTTTTAAGATTTTTGTTGGTTGTTGGCCATCGAGATCAGTTGTAATTTGCTTTATATCTCTGGTAATAACTAGTCGCAAAAAAACTACTGAACTAAATCGAGAATGGAACTAATTTAAACTATTACATACTTTAGACTCTGTTCAAATTTCCTGAGTGACATGTTTTATTTTATCTATTAACCAATCCCAACTGTCATAGTAAAGGTCATTTATGTACATGTTTATGATCAAGTAAAATTAACCAATCATAATTTAGCATGTGAATTGTATGCACACATTCAGAATGCTTGTTAACACGTGTTCTATCTAATAAGTAATGATGAGATCAATAGAGAAAATATAAATCCATGACAAATATTTACCAACTTTTGTCTTTCATTTCAATTCACTATTTTAATCGAATAGGCTTCTGATTGTGGAATTTAAACTGTTCTGCTTTATTGTTAAATCTTCTATTGAATCGACAATTAAATGATGTACATATGATCTGTATTCTATGAGAAAAATGCTAAATTGTCTTGTGATGGTGAGTCGTTGGCCCAAGATGAAGGAAGCTTCTGGAAGACAAGTATTACTATAATCGCTCTATATATATCTAACTTAAACTGGATTTCTCACAAACAATTATCATGCAAAAACACAACAATCAACTTGCACTGTTGCAAAGAGTAAACTATGCACAACAACAACAACTTTCATTTGATTCACAACAATACGATCATCGTCATGCTTTACACTCGATTTCAGGACAATCAGAATTAAGGCATAATTATTCTGATTCTGATGAACCGTCAAGTTTTTATCAACCAATACCGTTAAATCAACATCATCATTACTCATCATATCGACGATTTAAAACATGCGATCGATTGCCAAAACATAAACACTTTGAAAATTCATTTCATCCAAAACTATTGGATGCCAGTCTATTCACATCATCATGTAGTGATCAGCATCGACCAAGCACGTCCACAGTATCTGCTCTGGGTACATTGCAAACAGACCAGAAACCAATTTGTTCAACAACACCACCGGGAAGAATACTGCCTACTTTGTCACATCCCCTGGCTGCTGCTACAACACGTGAAACAGCATTTAAACCAATCAGTCATAAATCTTTCGATAGACCAACTACATCTTCCTATTCATCTACTCAGTCTATTCATGAATGTAGCAGTGAAATTCATGCTGGCGCCAATATACACAATGAATCGGATCATAATAGTAGTAGTAAAACAAAGATAAATTCCACACCGAATTTACTAGATTATATCAATACAATTCATTCTTCTACAAACAGTTGTACTAATCATAGTAATCCATTTGTTCATAGACAACAATCGATTCATTTACAACACAGTAAACAATTTCCACAACATGAAATATCACAACACACTGATGACAGATTGTCAACATTTCGGAAACAGTTAACCACAAGAAGTATGGAGGAGATGTTGAAACGACAAAAAAAGGTAAATAAATTAATCAATTTAATTGAAAAAGACAAGAATTATTTATTTTCTATGAATGTTTTGTCACTGGCTCTATACTCTAACAGATCTATGAGTAAACAGTCCATACTGATTATATTAGATTAGATTAGATGGTGAGTTAAATTAACATATTAATAATAATAATAATAGATGTAGGCAGTAACTACCAAGGACAAATGGGTGAGGTCGCGCAAAATCTCTAGATCAATCAGAGTTAGACATTAACACCGTTGGATGCTGGCCAAGTGCTCCAGAGGTGTTAGGCGTTTGCGCACAATACCGAAGGTCCTGGGTTCGAATCCAGCGAGGTGCAGGAGTTGTGGATGCGCACTGTCTCTGATGAGTCCCATACCAGGACGAAACGGCTGTCTCTCCAGGTTTCTAATGGTGTTGGTCTAATAATGATTGATTGATGATCTTAAATGTGTAAAAATACTAACCTCCATAATCTTAATTGAAAGTAATATTAATCAATAAGTTACATAACGTTTTTTATATCAGATCATGATCAGTTGATCAATACAGACAGGTATATTGGATTGGGGATTGAAAAAAAAGAATTCGATGTAAATTTAAATGTTCTTTGTTATCTGTAAGATTATTGATTAGTAATTTGTAGGACTAGTGCAATGAAAACTGAATAATAAGAGACTAGTAAACAGATTTGGGAAACTTCAAAAGAATAACAATGAGAAGTAAGGATTTTCAAATATTTACTAATAACCAAGAGTGAAAGGTTAGGAGCAGTTATAAACTTATTTTCTTTTGTATACTACGGTTAGTTTCTTTTTCATTTGTATTTCAATGGCTTATATTAAAAGAGTCGGATTTTGAAACCGTAAGGTAAATACGGCAGGATTTTATATCAAAAAAACTTTAGACAGGATGACCAGTACCGACCAGTGGTGACCATGATAGAGCTTCTGATTATTTTCTTTCATCTGTTGGAAAATCAAGAGAGGTGATGTGTAGAAATATGAAGAAGCATTGTCTGGTTTGTGCGCTCAATTTAAATAGGTCACCGAGCTTTTTTTAATTTTAAATCGTACAAAATGTTGGAAAACTCAGTAATTGTTACCTGGGATTATGAAATTGTGTAGATTGTTAAGCTACACATTTGAAATCATGAATCGATCACTGTTAGACTACTATTATAAACCTCATGTTTGTAGTTGTCGACTACCTGGTTGGGGTCCTCGAGATGATAATAATCGATGGTTAGAGACCTTGAATGACATGGCTCAAAATCGTTTGCATTGGCGCCGGTGCATTTATTCTTTATGTTCTCTCAAATCCTAATCTTCTGGATTCTTCAACAACTCTAGTTTTGACTTTCTAAACTTTTCTCATTGAATCATACTTCTTGAATAATATCTTCTAATCCTAACCTCTCCGATTACTTCTAATACCTTGACTACCTCTTCTACTATTGTATTTGAATTGACAATTATACCTCTGTGCTGATGTGGTATGGCGGCATGAACTGATGTACTTACGTAGGAAGTTCTACATTGCATTTGACTGATTGACTGACTGACTATTATAAACCTGGAAGCACTGAAGGACGGCCGTTTCATCCTGGTATAGGACTTATCAGCGATACGCATCAACAACTCTTTCACCTCTCACCATTCGAACCCAAGATCTTAGGTCTTACGCGCAAATGCCTAACCTCTGTTATATTGTATGAGTGTTCTATGTATTTATAAAATTTAATTATTACTGTAGAGTTAAGATAAAACACTCATTGAAAATAAATTCATCATTGTTCAATTGAATTAATGTCAGAATCTATATTCAATCTATTTTCAATTCATTTTGTCATGGTTAATGATGTCATGTTTTGATAAATTAGAGGAATATGTGTGTTTTCATTTTGTGAACTGACAGATTTGCTACTTAGAGTATATATAATATAAATTGTATCAGTGAATGATTTCTCTCTCTCAATGTCTAATTAGGCAGCTGTTTGTTTATTAATTCACCACTAATCAAGATAAATGCATAGTATGAATGAAGAGTTTGTGAATTTGTAGTGAAGGAGAGCACAGGTGAGGGCAACCGATTTGTATTTAACGAAAATTACTGAGTTACTCAGTAAAATAGGAAAACCATATCGTAAACGGTTAATTTGCAAATCTTCAATCCATCATCATCAATCCATTGTCTGACATTCATTTCACTTATTCATGCGTTTCATACAAATTCCATTGTGTTCTTCTAACTCTTCCTTTCTCTTGATCTTCCCCCATCCTCTTCTGCTGCCAGACATTACGTTTACACTCGCGTCATATACTACTTATAAGTAGCGCGCACCACAAATTGACTGTGTTGTACTCTTTTGTAATGTAATGCATTACACATAGATAAATTTAATTTGATCAGTGATTAAATAGATTTTAATGAAAATGATCTTAAAACCAGGTGATTAATGATGAATAAATAGCCTAATTTAATTTTTGTTAGATTAGAAATATAGCACAAGTCGTGATAATTTGATTTGATTTGATTTATAACGTCATATGCATCATAGTACATTGTGTAAAGATAATAAATTACCCATGAATAATTTCAGTCTCGTTAAAATTTGTAGTATTTCGGTTGTTGATATCAGAGTGAAAGATGTTTTCAATATGTGGTGGGGCTGGGGAAATGATTTAGTTTCAGAGAAGCGTTTGGCAGATCGATGAATTTTATGTTCAACATTCAAACTGATTTCAGGTTTGGTTGGACGTTTTGTTAATCGATTCATGTACAAGTTATCACAATTCAGTTGGTGAATGATTCATTGTCGAGATCTTTTCCACACCACAATAAATCTAATAACAGTAGAGATGTATGATCGGTGACAGGGGAATACAGGACACGTGTTTTGGTCCTATTCAGTACTGGTCACTTGTACGTACATCACTTGATTCGGGTCCGCAAGATGATAATAATCGATGGTTAGATACCTTGAATGACATGGCTCAAAATCGTTTGCAATGGCGCCGGTGCATTTATTCTTTGTGTTCTCTTAAATCCCAATCTTCTGGATTCTTCAACAACTCTAGTTTTGACTTTCGACACTTTTCTCATTTAATCATACTTCTTGAATAATATCTTCTAATCCTAACCTCTCCGAATACTTCTAATAGCTTTACTAACTCTTCTACTATTTCATTTTAATTGACAATTATATCTGTGTGCTGATGTGGTATGGCGACATGAACTGATGTACTTACGTACGAAGTTCTACATTGCATCTGACTGACTGACTGACGTACATCACCATTGATTTCGGTTCCACATTGTTGAATTATTTTCTTTAGTAAATTTAAAAGCAATTTCAGATGCCATTAATGGATAAATAAGTTTATGAATATCACTTGAAAATTTGTAGAGAAATAGAATATCCTTTGATTCTTTCACAGAATAACATTTCCTTGAAATACATATGCTTAGGCCAATAAATGACAACCATTTGTAACATTTCCAAGGCTCCAGCCTGTACGTTTATTCCTACACATCGATTCATGTTAAAGAGTTGCAGTCCAGTCTTCTGTTGACAAGTTGCATATTAACTGCATACATCAGAAAGTAAATGTTCACGAAGACCGATCCGCACGCTCAAAATATGACCGTAAGGTCAAAGAATTCAGTCAGCCAGTCAGTCAGATGCAACGTGGAACTTCTTACGTAAGTAGATCAGTTCATGTCGCCATACCACATCAGTACACAGGGATGCAATTGTCAATTCAAATCCAATAGTAGAAGAGGTAGTAAAGCTATTAGAAGTAATCGAAGAGGTTAGGATTAGAAGATATTATTCAAGAAGTATGATTCAGTAAGATAAGTTTAGAAAGTCAAAACTAGTGGGGTTGAAGAATCCAGAAGATTAGGATTTGAGAGAACACAAAGCGTAAATGCACCGGCGCCATTGCAAACGATTTTGAGCCATGTCATTCAAGGTCTCAAAGTCAAAGAATTCACATGTTTTTACCGGCCCTGCTAACTTTGTTCGTCTGTGTATGACGATAATGACAAAAAATTCCTTCTCTCACACAAGATTACTTCTTTCCCAGTACTGTCGATTCAAATCGATTCATGGTTCATGTTGAAGAGAGTGTAAACGATGATTTCTTTTTATAGCTTTGCATTCAGTTGTAGTCCACTAAGAAGTACGGAATTGTGTACTTGAATTTTTGTTTTTATATTAAGTGAATCATTATCAATTTCAAAAAAAAATAGTTTTTAATTAAAAAAATAAATCAAGAAAGAAATGATTCTGTATTAATAAAGTACAATTGAATTCTCATGACGTCAATTGGAAAGTACACAGTTATACTATTAGATCTGTCTGTGTATTACACACGTTGGATCGATAAATTTCAAAGGATTAGATTACATACAGTATTGATCGTAACAGTTTTTTTTTTCACTAAAACAATATTGACTAAATGTTCATTAGTTAGTTATACAGTTTCAAACAACTAACGTTACAGTGAACAAACTTCGCCTTATCCTCTCGTTTGATTTAATTACCAATTAAAAAAAAACAGCATTCAAGCAAATATTTTAATCGATAGATTAGTAGTTGTTATTTAAAACAAACACCAGTTTTTTGATGATCTGAAGGAGTTTATGTTGTACGACTAACTATATTACTTGGTGCAATCAGTTGAGATGGTTGGGACTGCCTCAAAACCTGGCACAAATCCATGAAGCCACTAACAAGTGGACAGAATCATGTGGGTAGATTGCAGGCTACCTGGTTGGGGTCCACAAGATGAAAGTCACCAATGGTTAGAGACCTTGAACGACAGGCTCAAAATCGTTTGCAATGGTGTAGTTGCATCCATTGTTTGTGTTCTCTTAAATTCTAACCTCATGAATTCCTCATCATCTGTATTTTCCTCTTTCTAAAGTTATCTCACTGAAGTATACTTCTCGAATCATATCTTCAAACCCTAATCATCTGCATTACTGCTAACACTTCT